AGGTGAGGAGGAGGAGGAGAATAACCTTGAGGAGGGTCATGAAGGCATAGTCGGACTCAACCAGTGTCCTATCCAACATCTCGGCTAACTCCAATCAAGCACGACGGGGGGGCAATCTCCCTCTGCAGATGTTGCTCAATATTACGCGATCGTCCATTGAATTTTTGGTCGTACAGCAGTTGCAGGAACAGCAACAGCGTTGGCACAATTTCGCGCGCCGACAGGCACCGAGTACTGCTGTGGGAGGCTTCTTCACTCGCGGCGTTTAAATTTTGATCCGCCGCCTGGCTCGCCCACGAGAAGTTACCGTTCCACAACTCATCGACCTTACTCAGCAGTACCTGACCTGGACGAGGGCTTCTTGGCCAAGCAACTACTCCCACTTCTACATCAACTCTGTCGTTTTCATCTACCTCGCTCGCTTCTACATCACCACTGTCGTTTTCTCACCCTTTTCGATGATGCAGATAGCTCGGACACTACGGCCTAAAACAATTGCCGTTCCGCCAATTTCAGTTCACTCACAATTCTCCACCCTTTGAGCTACACGTTGAGTGCATGATCCTTTCAGTTGCTTCCTCATAGTTCATTGGCTCAAGTTCTCAAGTTCCAATTGTCCTACCCGCCTCATGCCACTCTCCGATCCGCCCGTTCTACTTACATTGATGGCTGCTCGTCTCCAAGCTGCGAATGTTGCTCTCCGCCTCCTGCTCCAGTCCGGGCACTAATACTTCGACAGATCACCGACTGACTGCTTCGAGACCACCTATCACTTGGGCACCTGGATCTCAGTACCAGGACGCTCCCCACCTTTCCCCTTCCCTCCACCACCTCTCTCTCTCTCTCCTCCTCCTCCTCCTCTCCCTTCCTCCACCCTCTTTCTCCACCTATTTCTCGTCACTCCTCCCCTTTCTCTCTCTTCTGTCTCTCTCTCTCTCTCTCTCTCTCTCCCCGCCCTCAATTCCCCTTACAGCCTGCTCCTCAGGCTGATGTCTTTGTGAAAGCACCTAGCAAACTAGAGAACCAACAGCCTTTGCTGGAGCCGCGTCTTCCAAACTTGCAACGGGCTTGAGTCCGCTTCAAAGACGGAGACGGGGCTATCAACGTCCGGATGGGCGGTTGATCGACTCATCAAATGAACACAAGCAGTCGGTTGTGGAGCACCATGTGAGTCACGCAGGGGTTGGTCACTTGGAACCTGATATTGTCCCACGTTGTGCGAAGGAAAGTGGTCAGACCACCTGGTTGTTAACGCTTCGCCCAACGAAGACGGCAACGCAGCAAGAAGCGTCGACGCCACTCGGCTCTCCAATCTCGAAGCGTTGGGCTTCACCTCTATCTTACCAGTGAGGCTTGTGAGAGCATCTGAAGCCAACCAACGTTTGTACGCCTGGCCACATGTTCCATTAACTAATTCCACCACGGACCAGCAAAGAAGCGAACATCGTGGACCAGTAGAGTAATTTCAGTTATCCAGTCTCCACACCTCAATGCAGCTTGATGAGAACCTTCATCAGGCAACCGCGGCAACGCAACCGATACAGTTCGGAGATCATCTTTCTGAAGCGGTTCTCCAGTGCCTGCTCCACACCCTGCATCTGTCGGGGGACTCGGTGGCGGTGATAGAGGCATAGAGGTGTTGTTCTCCTCGAGCTCCTTCTTCACTCCACTGCCCCAAAGTCCATTGGCCTGCTGCCACAGTGACGCGCAGTGCTTCTGATGCTGTACTTCTTGACTGTCGAACTTGCCCTTCAGGTCCAGCAAATGTCGCTCCAGGCACTGAAGGCGCACTTGTTGGAAGTTTCTTTTCCCTGGTTCATGACCTTCACCATGGGTTCAGAGATCACTCCCCAACTTGTTTGGTCACTTTTTGGGATGTGTGGGATCAGTTTTCCCACACCCCACTTGACCTTCATGTGGGCTCGATCATGTCGGTTCAGCCTGCCTTCACAATCCCCCTGAAATCCCTGAAATACGTCACATACCCTGGCTGTAGGTGCTTCTCCCCACCAGGAATCAGCCCACCATGACCATGTAGTTCAAATACTCCACCATGTTGACCTTGTAGTTCACGATGCCTGGCGCAGCAGATCATTCTGCTTTTGGAGTTCTTCCACCGTCTGCCTCTCAAAGGCACACTGCAAGCTCCCATCATGGTCTGGTACTTCACGACGTCCTTGATCGCCACGTTCACGTTCTCGACCACGATGTCTTCGCCCATGCAGCTTGGCATCTTGCTCAACGTCGCGCGCGGCCTTAGTGTTCATCTTCGTCCAACCCCGCATCCAGCTTCTCGGCGGCATAGGTGGTTCCTCAGCACTGCGACTTCCAGCAGCCCCTCCAACTCAGTCGTCGGCCATCAGAGATGGCTTGCTGGACACTGTCTCTTGCAGCTTGAGTCCAGTGATCGCCCCGATCTCGACTTAGCTCCTCCTCGATGCTTTTCAGGTCAGGCGCGCCATCCACGCTTCTTTCGCCCTCGATCACACTCTCGACCTCCAAGGTCTCCTCTTCACCTGCGTCGAGGTTGAAGAGGTCACACAGACCATGATCCGCTGGCTGGAGTTCTTCCGAAGATGCACCTCAGTCTGACTCATCTGGCACCATCGGCAGGTCCTCAGGTCGAGCATTTTGAAGTCGCACTTCTTCTTGAAGCTCCCTCCATTATGCGTGGGCGTAATTCGGGACCGCTAAGTATTCAGTAACTAATTTCCGGCCTTGTTCAAAAACTTACAAGTACACTGACCTGCCACCTTTCCGTTTGTCGAGTCAAGTGCTAGGTATTCAGTATCTAGATCGCGGATGTCGTAGACAGCTCTTGCGAGCCCTGATCAAAGTGTGTCTCGCAACAGGGTCCCACTGAGGTCTGTTGTGTGATCCCCGCCGAGGGGCGCGTCTTGCACACGCCCTCAAGGGTGCACACTGAACAATTGTTTGCACTCGAACATAACTGATTCAGCCGCTTGCTCGAGAATGCTGAGCATATGCCGCAGGGCTTCTCACAGAATGACATGCCACGCCGCTAAGTACTCATAGGCACTCGGCTAAGTATTCACCTTTCGGTTCTTTCCTTCTGCGGTTGCTCTTCGTTTTCTAGGTCTTTCTTCTTTACTAAAGTCTTTTTGGTTGTAACCGATGCTTTTGGAGCGCCGTTTTCGGCTTTCTGGTCAAGTGCCTTCGGGCCTGAACTGGACACCCCACCCCGCCCCACACCTCTGCACCCTTTCCTTGCTTTTTTCGTTTGCTTGGTCTTTCCTTCAGGCTTGTTTGGTCGGCGTTTAGGCTCGTTTAGTCAATGCACGCCCAACCCCCCCCTCGCACCCCTGCACCCTTTCTTTTCCTTCCTTGCTTTTTTCGTTTGTTTGTTCTTTCCTTCAGGCTTGTTGGGTCGGTGTTTGGGCTCGTTTAGTCAATGCACGCCCACCCACCCCCGCACCCCTGCACGCTTTCTTTTCTTTCCTTGCTTTTTTCGTTTGTTTGTTCTTTCCTTCGGGCTTGTTAGGTTGACTTCTAGGCTCGTGTCAACGCACACCCACACCTTTCCCCCCCCCCCCCCTCCCGCCAAAGGAACTCCAATGTACATAAAAGCAGGGGACCAGGCAGGATACATCCTGGTCAACGAAGCTGGCGATGTATCCGAGGATGTGGAAGTGGGACGCCATTTCCACGTACCTGCACTGTTATTCAGAGCAACCGAAGGAAATTGTTCTCGGCGGACTTGTGTGTCGGTTCCTTTCCTTCTGTTGACCCTTTTCTACTCTAATGGGGCGATTCGCAAGTCTCGCCTCCTAGCTACAAACTGGAAACTTCAATTTCTATCAATTTCTTTCCTAGCTAGTGTCTACCCTATTTGAAGCGATTCCTTCGGTCGCGCTTCCAGATGGAATTTACTCACTCCATTATATGCACGGGTGTAGTTCGGGACCGCTAAGTATTCAGTGGCCAATTTCCGACCTTGTTCAAACACCTACAAGTACACTGACCTGCCACCTTTCCGTTTGTCGAATCAAGTGCTAGGTATTCAGTAACTAGGGTGCTAAGCATTCAGTACCTAGATCGTGGATGTCGTAACGGATACAGCTCTTGCGAGCCCTGATCAAATTGCGTGTTTGGGAGACGCGCGCAATGCGCAAAGGCAAACAGACAGAATGCGTGTATCTAATTTGCTTCGATATCTCCAGGTTGTTTCCGCACGCATGTGCTTTGAGGCTACCGTGGGCCAAATGGGTTTTGCATGCCTCAATTGGCTTCCTTCCTCCTAGTTTCAGTGGGCCAAGATAGTCTGCCCCAAAAAGGGGGGCGGGAGGAGAATGAGCAAAGATCAAGAAGGGAGGGGAAGACTTGGACAGGAGAGGGGGGAAGGAAGAGGAGGGAAAGAGATAAAGGTCACAAAACAAAGATAATTTCACCCATAAAGTGTGATTTCACCAGCATCCAGTACAGAAGGGAACGGCAACCAAGCAAGAGTGAACTACATTTTTAGCACCCAAAAATTTTGCACGAAAAAACACACACAACCACACAACATTTAGCACCGGGTTTCACGAAATATTTGTATTGGCAAATCATTGATGGAAATCCCAGGCACAGCCCCAAGAAAGATTTGAACAGAAGAACGTCCCCCCCACGTTCAGCCACACGACATGATTCGAAGGCTGCCCAAACCATACCACATTGTTGTTTCACAACCGCTTTGCGAACACACTGTGCAGGGACCCTGAACAAGAGATTTCGCAAGACACAGTGTTTGAGGAAGATGGTTTCCCATTTGAGTTCGGATTTTGTTTTTAATTTTTTTTTATTGGTGTTCATTCTGCATGTGTGCGTGTGATATATGCAATATGTAATATGATCAATGAAAATACCTACCTGCATACATGCAACTCCCTGTCGGCCCACTGGAGATTAGATAGGCAGGATTCGCAGACCATCACATAACATGTGGGTCGTTGACAGGAAAAATCAAGAGGAAAAGTGACAGATGCAGCCACACATTAAACATATGTTTCCTTGTTTGAAAGATGCTCCATAGTAAGCATGCGATGGCCAAAGTCCAGGCATGGAGCATGGCCTGGATGATTGTCATTTGTGTTTGTTTGTCATTTAGTTTGTTCTTGGAGATGCTTCCAGGCCAACTGGCACTGTGTGCTATCATGTGGGTTTGCTCCTCAAGAAAGGCAACTTCCCGCGCCCTTTTTTCTGTTTTTTTGTTAGGTCGGGGAGGTTGGTGCAGCTTGGGCCAAGGCTAGGCGCTTGGGCGTGCCCCACCTGTGGCCATCACGCGTCAAGGCAAGTTTCTTTTCTTGCACCTACTTGATGTGTGCAAGCAGGAAGCTGGCAGGTCTTCTTTCTTGCCATTTTGACATCGGTCTTCAATTTCAGTGTTTTCCAGTACTTGCATAACGCCAGGACCTAAGGTCACAGGGGCACAAGTGCTCTGACATTTGCAAGTTTGCACAGGCCAATGTCGCATACCTCAACCTGTCTTCTCCAGAATCAGATGAGATTGCTTGCAAGCTGCCGAGGGACTGCCATTTGTGATTTGTTTGGTGGTTCATTGATTTGTCTCCAGGGAACCTCGTGCCTTGCAGGAAGAATGTGCCAGCAACCCTGACCCTGCAAGCTGCACTGTCGATTTAGAAGACAGGCGCTTCTGGAGAGGCACAGCAAGCTCCCTTGCATCCGTGCCAGGTAGTTGATTTGATCCCGCGTTGTTTTTGCACGAACAGGTTGCTCTTGCGTTGGTAGGTTGTTTGGAAACGGGACGACTTGTTACCGTAGCGGTGCATAGAATTGGCTTGAAGAGATAAGTGGTTGAAACTTCCAGTGGAAGAGCCATGGCAGCGGCCTCACGGCCAAACCTTGAAAAAGCCACATGGTTGGGCCACGTGCAGCGTTTGCGCGAATTGCTTGATGAAGAGTGCTCTGAAGTGCAGAGAAGCTTATCTGAACATACCTGTGGCAACCAGTGGGATGCAGAGATGGATAGTTGCACTTTTCAAAACACATTCCTTCTCAACCGATGTGTTGCAAGGACATGCCAGTTTTACTAGCCATCAACCCATGAGCCCACCAGATCATGTTTTGATTTTAGAAACCTTTTGTACGTTGTCATGCTCTCCAACAAGCCACAAGAACCTTGATGTGCAACAGAAGGCATGAAGCTTTCATGAGAAGTTATTTTGAGCTTCAACACTTCGAGAGGTGCAGTGACCCATTGCACCTTTGACAATTCAAGTCTCCGGAACCAGTGAGCAAAAACCAATTCAACTGTCATTGTCCTCACCAAATTTCAATTGGCCTGCCTGTGAAGGCCAGTGTTTATTTGTTTTATTTGTGCCAGGGAACTCGGCCAAGACACCAGAACTTAAGTAGAGGCACAGTTTGGGGCCAAGGCCGTTTTGGCCGCGACGAGCCAGAGAACGAAATCCCTTGCCAAAAGGAGGAAGCCAACGATGCGTCCGATGCGAATTCGAATGTTTGTAGCGCGATGTCTGAACTGCAATCAGCTTGGAAGGGCGGAGAAGCCAACGAGGTCGTAGCACTGATCCAATCTGCTTTGGCTTTGGTGGGCGTTTACGAAAAGAACGCAAGCAGATCTGCTTGCGGAAAGGCTAATGAGGATGTGGATGGTTTGAAGGCTGCCGTGCTGGGAGCCAGAAAATCCTTGAAGGACAGATACTTGGAATCACTCATCTTGTGTTGTCCGCGGTGTGTTACCAGTTGTTTTGGGGGTAGGCCTTGTCCCGGAGATCAGAACGAATTGCCAAGGAGAGTGGTCATTAGTCGAGGCGAAGCACAAAGCCCAGCAATTGGAGGATGAGCGATTGCGACAGGACATCAAGATTCTTGCTGTATGCATCCAGCTCTAGCTCCATCTCCATGCAGGCAAGCTGTCAAATGTTGCAGATGTTTGCACAAACTGAAGCAGGACTGCCACATCCGGGCACTTCAGACTGCTTTGGACAAGGCGGTCTCATCCAGGACCTGGGTGCTTTTCAGTGTGCACTTTGGATGCTGGTGGTCAACTATTGAAGCTATTTCACACTATGGCAAGTGTTTTCTTTGCAGGACCGAGTCCGAAAAGCGCCACCTGGAGGCGTACTCGACTGCAGATGCTGAGGCATGCGGTATCGTGCTGTGAGATTACGTGCGATCTTGTCGCCAGCAACAAACATAATCTGAGAAGAATTTACTCGGGTCAGAGTGCAAAGCAACTGAACTGGAAGGCGGCAGAGCAACGAGGCGAGCTGCGTCGGAGGCTCTCTGCAGCCGAAGTGGCACGAGACCAGGCAGGAAGGCCAAAGGGACAAGAGCACAGAAAGCTGAAAAGACCTAATAAGAGCAACGTTAAAAACCCTCGTACCGGCCTTGCCACGAAAGCATTCCAGAAAGTTGAAAGTCAAAATTCGCAATGGGAAAAGGTGACATGCCGCGAAAGACCCTGCGCAGCACAGCACATGTGCGCACTGGGTTCTTTAGACGAGTTCCTTTGTTCGAACTGGACCAATTGGCTCACCTAGTCGCAGTGGTCGCGCAAATGATTCTGTGCCTGCCAACATGTTTACGGTTTGAGTGGCTTTCTTGTTTATTTGAGGAATCCTCTTTTTTTGTTTGGCTGATAGAGTCCGTGGCAACAGAACTTTGCAGACCAGACCAGGGAGCCAACTAGATTTAATATATAGTAACCTGATGTAACCTGTTTAAAGATAGATGCATATGAATATGTGTATTTCTGTTCTTTAACATTTGCCAAGAGGTAGAGTATTGTTAATAGAATGCATAGAAAAATCTGCAGTTGTAGTCTACCTCTTCTCTTTGCGTGGCATGATGTTTACGTCCCCCTCTCACACGCTCAGAATGTGTATATATATATGTATACATATATGCATATATATATATATGCACAACACACTGCTTAACTGGGATTGACGCAGTCCGTGCTACAAAGGAAGGTTGTGAACCGACTCCAACCTGTGCACGCGCATTCACACCAGAAACATCGATGCTGTACTGTTTTTGGCGGAACGCGGCCAACCCTTTGTGACACAGTGGCGTATGCACCCAACCAATTTGGGTGGTTCCTTGCCGCGCTTGAGTGGGGTTTCCCGATGCTTCTCTCTCTGTTGGTTTTGTAGTGGCTTGCTCCAGGCAACAGCAGAACTGGCAGCCATTGAGCAGAAAGTGGAGGAAGCTCGCAAAGTTGCACAACGCCGTGAGGAGGAGAAAAACCAAGTGTCAAAAGTTTGGGTCCAAACAATTAATGCATGAATGCCTTTGTGCAATGCAGCCAAGAGCATCCACATCAGTTTGATACAATATGTTATATATCCTTTTCGGCCGCAAATCAGCCAAGCTCAGCCAAGCTTTGCACCTGAAGTAGGTCTTTACCTCGGCCTTTCGCTCGCAATGGTTAGCACCGACATTGAAAGCCCGCACTTTGGGAACTTCAACGGCATCAGCGCTGCTCAAATTCGCTTAGGCTTCATTCGAAAAGTCTACGGCATTGTATGTGCACAAGTCACCGCCACGGCCCTTTTTGCAGCCCTTTGCTGCGGACCATTGCAGCATCCAGTCACAAGCTTTGTCATGCATTGGCCTAGCACTTTTCGGTGGGGATCCTTGATTGCCACAGGCCTCTCACTGTTTCTATGCTACACCGGCAAGAACAGTTTCCCGATGAACTTCTACGGTCTTTGTCTTCTCACTGCTGTCATGGCTTGCGATGTAGGCGTGGTAAGTGCATTGGCATCAGCTGCTGGGCTGGGGGCTCTTGTGGCACAAGCTGCGCTGATCACTGCGCTCCTGGTGGCTGGCTTAACAATCTACACTTTCCGCTCGAAAAGAGATTTCTCCTTCCTCGGTGCGGCGCTATGGCCTTTCACATTCGGCCTATTTGGATTTGGATTGCTCTGCATATTCTTCCCTTCGCTCAACACGGGTTTCGTCGGATTGCTTGTTTCATTTGCAGGTGCAGTGATATTTTGTGCATACCTGGTTTTCGACACATGGCGCATTGCAAATGAGCTGGAAGTGGATGATTATGTGGAGGGCGCTGTCCAGTTGTACATGGACATCATCAATCTGTTCCTTTACATCCTAGAAATCCTTATGCAGCTGAGCAAGAGTGACAATCGGGACTAAGTCGCAAGCAAGACTGTCATGTCAGTGGCGCTTTGAACAGAAAGCCATTGGCAAGATCCTGGTGTCATTGCTAATTAATGCACTTTTGCGTGGCGGGCAGAACACAGGTCTTGAGTCCAAAGGAGACATTGCCCCCCAATGCCACGATTGAATGCCTTCACTGATTGCATGATGGCATTTATACTAAGCCTTTAAACAGTATCAGCACTTCGTGCTGAGGGGACCACGGTCCCAAGGAGAGGGCGAACCATCGCTCTTCTCAAACTTCAAAACCAGTTGCAAAGATGCAAAACTACTGTCACTTGACCACTGCAAGTACAACAACCATCATCACACTCAGGCACTCCCTCCACACGCAGTGGCAAGACATATGTGAGCTTTGACTGCAGGACTTAGCAGACCAGCTGTCTGCGAAGGAGAAGGAGCTGGAGGAGGGGAGCAACACCAAAGGTGCAAGCCAGGCTATATATACAATTGAATTTTAGCACCAAGTCGCTAAGTCGGCTTGGAGTACAGTATATATATAATATATATGTTTTATATATGCAAATTTAAACATCCATAAGAACATTCTGGATACCTAAGCAACAGGGAGTTACGTCTTTCCGAGTTGAGCCATTCATTACCGGTGTGAATCAAAGCTAGGAATGTCAGCAATGCACAGCTATGTAGCAATGCAGGGTCCATGGTGTACGAAAGCCGATTGCCACGGCATAAGAATGAACTGGTATCAGAAAGCCATGCTGCCTTTGGGGCACTGACAAATATAGACCTTTATGTCTTTACTATGCGGCGATGGGCTCCTAACTTTGCACAGCTAAGGCAGTTGAATGTTGGGAAGCCTATTCTTTGCCTGTCATGCGCCAGGAGCTGCGGCAAAGGCTCAAAACCCAAGAAGAAGCACGGGAGAAAGGATGTGAGGACCAGTGACCATGGTCATTGTGAGTGGCGCGCATTTCGCATTTGCGCCAAGATGCCCACAGGAAGCCGCGTCCAAAGCCACGTCTAAGATGCCCAGCTTCCGCATCCAGGGGATGCCCAGTGGAGGCCATACAATCTCTTCGGGATCAATGCAAGCAATCTTGCTCAATCTTGTGTAGATATCAAGTTAGCTGTGAAAAGGTTGCAAGTTGCAGGATTTACGGATCGCCGGATTTTTCATTGGTGCCAGGAGTGTTGGAAGCTCACATGCAAGGTGTGGGAACTGTTATGACCACACCACGACAGCACTACGAGCCACCCAGCGCTCCCCGAAGTGCCCCTCGCGCTCTGCGGACTGCTGCTCGGGCCCCATCTCAGCCCACACCAGAGCAGAGGCACTGTGGTCAATGAACCGAAGACGGAGAAAGATGTAGAAAGGCGGTGAATCCCAAAAAGCTTGGCAAAAAAAACAAAGAATTGAAGCTAATGTTCCAGTAGAAAGGTGCTTGCACTTTCGAGGATTCTCTTCAGATGGACCTGACTAGTAGGTTCTAGTTTGTAACGTCATATGCCGTTCTTTTTGAGTTTGCAGGCCACCAAGCAAAGCAAGTGCTCCAATGCCAATGGACCTTCGTTCCTTAGGCAGCTTGCAACCAAGCGTAGATTACTCATGATTAGTCGCTGTATCAGTCGACAGGAACCTGGCCACATTTGAGAGCGTGCATCAATCCAGCTCACATTCTCAGACATGGAAACATGACTGCAGGAAAACTGCTCAGTGGCGGCGGCATGCTGGGCAAGTAGAATGTTTGGAACATGTGCTGGAGGATACTTGAGATGGAGCAAGCGCCTCTGCATGTTCTGGTGCTTTGCATGGTAATGGCATTTCTTCCCCTGAAGGGGCCTGACACGTTTCACCAACTGGCGATGAAGTGATCAGCCAGGTCTAGAGAATCACGAAGACGTATTTAGTGCATCGAATGATAGCTATTGCATGATAGTTGTGTAGGCAGGCTCCACATGTACAGGGCTTACGGAGCGCACAAACGAGTTTCACACTAGATTGCAGCACTCAAACACAACCCGCATGCTTTGTGGCAAAAGTAGTGAATGTAGAAACGAATCAGGCTTGAAGAAGCTTCTCTTGATTGCCCTGTACCGCCTCACTCTAAATAGTCACGAAGAAAGTGCGGTTAAGCGTGTTGGCAGAATGAATTCCAGGTCCAGGGTCCAAGTGGCCTGAGCAATTCGGCAGGTTTGAACTTGACGACTCCTTGTCCTAAGCTCCCAGATTCATTGAAAGGCGGGATTCTGCATAGTTCTTGGCCTTGTGACCTGGTGATGTGCTGGCCTTCATTGATTATCAACTATAAAGTTGGTTGGTGCTCTTCATTATTTAATACCCCGACTGACTTCTCTCCATTCCAAGACAGGAACATGCATCACCCACACTCACCCCTCGGAGGTTGGATCTCCAAGGGGAGTAACTATCAGCGGTCGCCGGTTTTGTCAAGATTTTCCATTCACAATGCACTCAATTGGAGCAAGTGCAGATACGCAACTTGCATCAAGTTACAACCTGCGTGTCCCCGGGCATGCTCCGTGCTGACTGGGAATTCCAAAGGGAACCGGGAAGTTATACATGCCAGCACAGACGACCCCAGACTCAGATAGCATAACCCCTAGAGACAGCAGCAACAAGCTCGTCAAAGTTCGTTTTCAGCTGGTTGGAGATACAAAGCTTGCTCGGAAGCCACTTCTGAACACCAGCCCGTGCGTTTGCCTACAGAATGATAGAGCCGTCGAATGACACAGTGCCTCTAGAAGAAGGTCACCGGCAAAGGGACCGCCCATTTGCTAGAGTACTGTGCCAAGTGCTGTCCATTGCTTTTAATGAGTGGATTAGACAAACTCTAGTCCTAAAGGGCCACGGGTTAGAATTCCAAGAACGACTACTAAAGGCTAAGTGCAGGGCTGACCAAAAGTTAAGGTGAGACAGAGAGAGAGGGGGGGGGAAGAAACAAAGAAAGACGTGTTGAAAGAAAGACAGACGCAAAGAAAGAAATCGACCCTGAAACCACCGCAGACACAGAGCGGAACGGGTAGAATGAAAGGCTGAAAAAGAAACCACTGGACAACAAAGTGTTTGGGGGTCACCCCACGCTTGTTTCAACTTAGGGCTGTCCAACATGCACTTGAGAATCTAGTTAGGTTCCTAAGGCCCAAGGCTGGTTGTGTTTGAATATGTTATCTTGAGAGTTCAGTTTCCCACACCCAGACTTACAACAGCTGTTCTGTGTAGCCTGCGGACTTGCCAGGTCAAACATGTCCTTTCCTGAGCCTGCTGTGAGCCCATTGTGGCCATTAAACCTCAAAACGGCTGTCGTTCTTAGATAGAGAGTGCCGAGGCTTCAAGGGCACAGAAATCAGAATGCATATTAGCATATATTAGCTTTTTCCGGTGACCGCATTGATGAATATATCAACAGGAACGGCACACTCACAGTTCAAGCCGAGCATGGGTAATTGTTGAGCTTCGTGCTGAGGTCGAAACCCATGGCTTCCGCTGCGTGCTGTTTCAGGTGATTTGGGGAGTTTGCACACAGTGAATGTCGGCAACGCACTCAGAGAGCACATTGAAGCAGTCAGTGAAACACTATTGAATAAGAGCATGTTCTCTTGGAAGATGCTTCTTTGAATTGGTCAGGTGTTCATCCTTTTCGGCTTTGGAGCATTTTGTTCTTGATCCTGACGTCCCTGCTCAGCTTGTCCATCCTCATTCATGACTGCAATGTGGGTGCCACGCGAAACCGGAATTGTCAAGAGCATTGAAGTTAGACCCTTACACACACGCACACTCTGACACTTGTATTCAGTGACTCAATTACCACGATGGGAAGGATGGTGAGGGAACGGCAAGGTGGCAAAGTCCGCTGAAAAGTATTGTTGAACATTGTTCACACAGGCACTCATACGTTCAAAGCGGCGGCAAGACGATCAAAACGGCGGCGCAGCTGCTGGGGAAAGAGTGGGTTTGGGGGAAGTATCGTGAAACCACCATGAAAACAAACCGAGAGTAGAA